TATTCGTAAATTCTGTCACAAATTAAAATCTAGATAAATTTATTTCCAATATGGCAAGAATTTTATTTTTTCAATAAAAAATTGTGACACATTGAGTCATTCGTCAAATTTAATTAATACATTATACAATTTTATCAACTCGCATTAAGGCACTGGATATAGAAAGAAAATCACTGGTTCTATAGCAAGGATGAGCAACCCACGGCCCGCCGGATGTTTTTTTGCGGCCCGACAAGCATTTCTCAACAACAGATTATTTTTCTAGATATTTTATCAAATACGGTTGTAAAGGCTAATTTTGTCGTCAGCCAAATTCTGGTAAAAGCTGTTGTTCGAAGAAATAGCATTTCTTGATAAAATAAATATTAATTTATTTAAATGTTAGTTTGACAAGCTTCAATGTTGCAAGAAAAAATTGAGAACTGTCCGAGGACATAGCAACAACGCATTTCTAAATTTAAATGATTAAATAAGTAAATCTTATAAGTTGCGAGGAATCATCGTAAACTTAGAGACTTCCTGACAATTTAGATCGTGAATATGGCGATTTTCAATACTAAAGTACGTTAGCTCAATAGTGATGCAATGCTTAAAGGTATATACGACTCAAATGGCGAATTACAATTGTTTTTGGATATGAAATAATAAATAAAGTACTTTCGTCATTTTAGTAATGAAGAATAATATCTTTTGCAGAATCTTGTGTTTCGATTTTCATATTCAAAGAAATAAAATGTGAAATAATTTTAATTGTGATTCCAAATGTTCAAAGCTAACAAGACAGCTGTTTTCATGTAAATGTTTTCTTCGCCATTTAACATGCAAAATAATACAGATATTAAAAATGCATTTTTCAGTAAACATCGAATTTTTTTATAAATCTTATGTAGCCCTGAGAAATCTTCGCTTTTGAAAAAAATGCAAATCGAATTATGATATTTTTTTTTTGGAAGTACGTATTTGCGCGAACAATTACACTTTGGAACTTACAATTACACAAAGAAAAGTCGCTGAATAATAATTAATTCATTCAGAAAAAATGTGGATTGAAGATTGTGCCAGCTTTGCAATTTTGTTTTGTGCCCCAATTTTGACCATAGATTTATCTTCAGCGGTAAAAGGTACATTGGAAAACATATGGAACCACCCAATCCAGACATCACTTTTTTGTTAATTTCAACCATGAAATTCATAAAAAATTGCCACCTATCAAAATTGAGTAAAACATATCAAAGCTGCATACGCATTGCTACTTCCGCATTAAAAAAATTAAAATAAAGAAAAAAATCTAAAAAAACGGCTGATATTGATCAGCTTTATAAAAAAACAGTGCCATTTTATTTATTAAGTTTTCAAGAAAATTGTTTTTCTTATAAATATTATTTGTTTTCATTTTGTATTACATTATTATACTTTGTTCAATTTTATATTTTTGTTATTGTCTTGTGGCAATTTTGTAATTTTGTTGCAATTACATTATTCCCGTGCTCAGTCAATAAATCTTTTAAATTAACTTTAGATCAGACTTTTGAGTTTATGAGAAAGCTTCAATTTTATTAAAAAATTGCAATTTATTTTTATCATGGCTTGAACGGCCGTAACATTTTTTTTTAAATTTTGTTCTTTATTTTAATTTTTTATGCGGAATGGAAAACTACACATAACTCCAAATTTTCATTATTTTATAATAGTCATTTTAGTAGTCCAATCATTTTTATATAGCTCGGTATTCGATCAATTAACTATTATCGCCCTTTCTGTGAACGTTTTTAATTGAAATTTGATTAAGATTTTTCTGAGCTTATAAAAAAACTTAAATTTATCCGCTCTAACCGCTGCAACATTTTAAAAATGGCAAGGAAATGGTTACCCCCGATTGCTAACTGATTTGCAGGCTTATCCTATTGTACCATACAAATATTTCATAAGAAGTACATAGTTTTTGAATGTCTCACAAAAAGAGCTATTATAGCAAAAAAAATAGAAATTAAATTTTAAAATCAGGAGATAAAACTTGATTTTTTTTCAGAGTATAAGATAATTACAATATTTAACATATTTATACAATATTCACAGTTTTTAAGCGTTGCAGTAGGCAAATTATCAATGAAATAATATTATAATTATACATTCAGAATTAGTTAGTCATTTCTTATACTAATGATTTTCTAACTAGCTGTAAGTGGAATTCTGTCTTAAGGCAATTAGGGCATCGTGCCTTAAGGCAAATTGCTGGAACTTCCCGTACCAAAAATTATTATTTTTTTTTAAAACGATTAACATTTTTGAAAAAAAATTACTTTGAAAAAATAAGATTTTTGAGAAACTATAAATTGGACAAAAAATTAGTTTTTTTTGAAAAAAAAAAATTTTAAAAAAAATTTTTTTTCTTAATTTTTTTTTTTTTTTTGAAAAAAATTTTTTTTTTCTTTATTTTGACATATTGTGGAAGATCTGAACTTTTTTTTCAAAGCAATCGTACTGCTTTAACTACATAGGGACAAAATATAAAGCGCGTAAGCGCCGCGTCGCTGTCTAACGCATAAGCATTGGTACGGAACCGATAGGAATGTTAACAAAATGTATACTTATTGTTAAAATCTCTATAAAATGTCTGATAATTTGATGTGCATATGTCTAATGATCATTTTTGACCGCCAAATGGCTCATTTTTTTACTTTTTCCTCTGTATCTCCGAAACCACTGGACCTACCTTCATGAAAGTTGTATCGATTCTTCATCAATACAAATAAAATGTTTTTTGAATTATTAAAATCGGACGCTCCGTTCTCTTAAAAACTGAGTTACCGTTTTTGGAACTTTTTGCCCCGTATCTTCGGAACGGCTTGACCTGCCTTTGCCAAAACTAATCAGCACGTCTCCTTATCAATACGGATCGAATGTTTTTTGAATTATTCAAATCGGTTGATCCGTGCTCCCGAAATCGTCGACGAAAATTGTATCCGCACATACATACACACACATACATACATACACACACACACACACACATACACACACACACACACATACATCCATTTTTTTCTAAGGTATGCCAAAATGTTCAGAAACCTCTGAAACGTAAAGATATATAAAAATTTTCATTTTCGATTTTTTTGCGATTACTATAACTTGCCCTACGGGAAGTTAAAAATATATTCTTGATCGGGTCAGCTAGTATATATTATATATATATATATATATACATATATATATATATATATATATATATATATATATATAAATTACGTGCGGCCCGCCATAAAATTTGAAAATTTAAATTGGCCCGTGGGTTAAAAAGGTTGCTCGCCCTTGTTCTATAGCATATTAATTTTCGTAACACCTAATTTAACACAGGGTATAATTCAATTATTTTTAATATTTTATATTGTTCTTAACATTCATCTGACTTCATATTTTTGCTCAATTCTAAAGTGATATTCAAATGATGAGCCGACTCTGCCGCAAAATAGACCAATGTTATGACAAAGCTATGTAAAGTGGCAATTCTCATACAAAATGGTACTAAATAAGAGAAATTCAGTAAAAAACCTTACCGAACAACGCAGAAATTACATAACATGCATAATATATGAGTGATGTTGCATTTTATGTATGAAGCGCCTGATTTCACAGCGAATACATGGCATTTTGACAGTATTTAGTACCATTTTAGTGTCAAAATCGGCCCCTAAATTGACATTAGTCGTATATTATTTATTTTGGTATAGTCTAATTTTAAATCATATGAAAATTGATAATTAGATAATTTACTCAACTTGGGTATGATTTGTTCAAATGATATAATTTTTAGTATTATGCACTCAAAAGTTTCTCTCAAAGTCGTCATATTTGATTTGTAAAATTAATACCAACTCCCATATTATTTGGATTTATGCGCTGTTTTCGCTGTACCAAAGATAAAATTCAATTTGTGTAGAACATCATAATACTTAAATTTTTATGGTTTGGGTGATTATTTTTAAAATTGAAGTAAATATTCAATTACATTAAAATAAGTTGAAAATGATATTTCATTGCTTTTGAATAAATATTCATAAAGGAATTATTGAAATTTTTGAATAAATATTTTAATATAATAACTTCATTTTCTAGATTTTTTTTATTCGAGAGTAATACTATATGTAACTATTATCATATTGCAGAGATATTGTCCTAAGTAGGATTTCAGTGAGAGCCGGTAGCAGTAAATTAACTAGTGGTGGCACAGTAAAAAGATTAGAAGCTTTTTTGTTCATCCACAATACAACCCACAAACACAAGATAATGATGCTGCCGTTGTTCGTCTTTCATCACCTTTGAGTGTAAATAGTGGATCAATCCGGCCCATAAAACTAGTCAATTCTGGTGTAGAATTAAGAGGAGGCACCAAGGTTACAGTTTCTGGATGGGGTAGACTCACGGTAAATATGATCGAAGACTTATAAAATATTATTTATTTGAAATTAAATTATATTAGCGTTTGAAGAGAAAAATGCATAGATTGCTTTTTATGCGTAGAGAAATATATACACCAAGAATTGCATTCATAAGGTCAATTAAATTACAACCGTTACCAAAGCAAGTTCTTACAGGAAATCATTTCCCAATTTCTGATGTTATTTAATATCATTCTTTTTGTCCATTTATGTAGTAAGAGCATGATACATAAATATAATCATACTTGTAGCTGAAATGCCGATTGCTTTTTAGAAAAGGAATTTTTTTTATTTGCAGGAATCACCATCAGAGCTTTCTCCTACACTCCAGGGAGCAACAATAACTGTTATTGACAATCCAACGTGCCAAAGATATTATGTCGCAGATTACGTCATCACAGACAAGTAAATAAAATAAGTAAATTTGTTTTAATTTTTTTTTTGAAATCGACTGAATATATCATGAATATTCTACAATATGTTCTTGGGGTTCTATTCTTAAATTGGATAACTGCAGATCTAATACATAGTACCAAACTGTATTTGCAACATTGCGTATTTTTTCATTTTCCTATAAAGTGAGTTAAAAAGTTATTAGAATTTATGACTAGTGGTTTATGAATTTTGGGTTAGGAACATGAGAATACATATCAATAACTGATAGAATTCACAAACGTCTTTAATATTTAATTAATTCAAATAATGCCCAAAATTCTTTATAAAATTGAAAACAATTCCATCTTAAATTCTGATAGCTATCAGACCTTGTAGTCAATACATATCGACAGCAGACAAATTTGTCAATGCCTTTAATGAGTGGTCTTCAAACAAGTATTTTTCATATTTTCTAACTGTTGAATTTGTTTTAGTATGATGTGTGCAGGATTCATTGAAGGAGGAAAAGGTCCATGCCAAGGAGACACCGGTGGTCCATTAGTCGAAGGCAACAAAACCTTAGTAGGAATTATATCATGGGCATTAGGTTGCGCAAGACCAGCAAGTCCAGGTGTTTACACACGTTTAGCTTCTACCAGCGTCAGAAATTTTATTCGAAGTGTGACCGGCCTCTGATGTGATAAATAATTCATAAATATTCGAAAAAATTATATAAATAAATTATGTAAAGATAAAATATAATTGAAAATAAAATTAATAACACATTGAAAATTGAATAAATGTTATAGAAATCCCTTGTTCTAATTTATAAAATAAATTATTGAAGCATTACCAACTTCTCAATACAACTTGTTTATAGAAAAGCAAAAGGCATCCTCGATTAAAATGAACTCTAAGCGTGAAGAACAAGCGGATACTTTACTTGACACTAATAATACCGTTACTGGCATACGCCGCTCCAGCATAGAACGCGACGACTAAGACTAACTTACGGAAATTACAGACATTACAAAATAAGACACCACGACTCGTACTCAACAAAATAAGGAACCCACTGACTAGACATTACTTCTTTCCAAAATACATACCCAAACAGACGGACGTACCGACAATACTCGACCATATAAAAAAGTTCACCGAAATTTTTTATCTAAAATGTGGGGATCATCTTAATACTAACAACGCGGGTCTCGGGCAGTTTACGAGGGACGTAATTTGGTATGGCAATCACGCCATGCCAAACTATATACTGATCGACCCATAGCGGCAAATGATACTTGGCTTGACACAGATCTTTCTTCAGTGCGAATAAATCTATTATTTTGTTTTTCTTTTTTTTGTATAATTATGTATTATTATAAATAGTGCTATGTAATTTTTTTTAGAGGATAATTTTTCTTTCCTCTTTTTTGTCACACTATTATGAACTTATTTTTAATTTTCAGAATTAATTATTGTTTGCAAAATCATATCCAATGATGGTTACTATACCTACGGGTAAAAAAACCATATTAAAAAATGCAATGTACATACTTACGTTTATTGAAATATATATGTTTTTGACTTGACTTGACTTAAAATGAACTCAGAAATCTTGGAAGCATTTGATTATTAGTAAACTTAATTTGGAAGAATATTACAGCTGTAATTCCTAAAATCTTTAAGATACTTTTTCGCATAGTTTTCAATCTATTTTTAAAAAAAATTGTATATAACTATGAAACAAATAAAGTGCTCAGAATCGGCATAAAAAGTGTTCGACAGCTTTTAAATGAAAGCAAATGCAATAAAATGACAGTAAGTGAGAAATAAACACAATCAATGAATTCACCTGAAATTATTATTTGTGTTTTTATTTGAGCAACTTTTATTTGATATTTTACGCTTTCTTAATATATTTTGAATAATATCTAATACGCATTGTTGTGTCCCATCCAGCAACAATATGTAGGTTCTTCCTGCTGCTAAACAAAGCTGTTACCAATCTGTGGAAGCTGATCAGTTAAACAGACGAAAATATTTGATGTATTTATTCATTTCATGATTCCTTTATCTAACTTCAACAACTGAATAATTGAGTATGATTAACTAAAATATGACTCAATTGAAAACTAAAGTACTCAGTCGTACTTATGCTCATGATTGACCACTGAAGATTGAGTATTGACTGACTTTATGAAAACTAAATCACGACTGAGCTGGTGAATGCCGTCATTCACCGACGTCTTGTATGTGCGTGCTTCAGGGTGACTTTGAAATCCTAGATAACATTACTTTACTACTTCTTCCATGTCGTTGTATAATGCAACACAATATATGAGTAAGTTGTTATTGCGTATTTTGTGTCTTGGAAAGGAATTGAACAACAACTGGGCTGGGATATCTCGAACTTTCAATGTTGTAGCTATTAGTAATTCACTAGATCTTTGTAGTTTAAACTCTGACTGTTACTGTGTTTTATAATATTATTTTTAATTATTATGAATGGGTGCATACCCCTTACAGCACATATCAAACAAAATATAAAATCGTTTTGAGTAATGCACATATTTGAAATATACAGAAATCTAGCAAATTAGATCTTTCTTTTAAAAAATTACTTAGCCTAAATTACCACATTTTTTAAATGGAAACTATTAATACGATTAGGCTTCGTAGTTTAAACTCTGACCGTTACAGTGTTTTATAATATTATTTATAATTATTACGAATGGGTGCATACCCCTTACAGCACATATCAAATAAAATATAAAATCGTTTTGAGTAATGCACATATTTGAAATATACGAAAATCTAGCAAATTAGATCTTTCTTTAAAAAAATTGCTTAGCTTAAATTGCCACATTTTCAAATGGAAACTATTAATACGATTAGGCTTAACTTAAAACAAATATTCCATCATTTTTGGTATAAGTTTGCATTATTTTTAAATGGGACAATTTTGAAATGTGCAAAACAATTCACAAACTTTTTAATCATCAAAATTGTGAGCTGAATTAAACTACAATGTGTGATTCTTTGCGTACATAATTTGAAGAACGAATGACTATTTTAAATTATTTACACTAATTATGAATTTGGTTTTCAGCAGATGCATACAAATCAAGGTTTTCCGCAATAAGGCAAAAATTATTAGCAAACTTATTGCATATCGATTCATTGGATCAATAATTAAATAAAAAATACGTGTAACTTCAAAGCAAATTTTTTGAAAGTTTCTATAATACTAGCGCATATGTCTCTTTGTTCATAGTTAAATGTGTAAAATTGAAAATGAGTAAATATACCCTTGAATATACTATTGTTTGTGTTATTTTATCATAAATCAAATATAAAGGTTGTATAAGTGTATTTATCACTGACAATTTTTGAATCTAGAAGGTGAGACAGTGCGCTCATTGTTTTAAAAAGATAGAACATATAGATAACGACTGAATTGAACTGGTAAGTAATTGGATGTTAAAAAAAATCATAGAAAATAGATTTATTTACACAAATTACAGTTTTATAATGTATGATAGAATTAGGTAAATACGGTTTGAATGTTTTGCAAAATATGCCGACGTAATTTAGTTTTATTTGTAAAATAGAGAAACGGAACGTCTGCAAAAAATATTTTTGTATATGTGGAATATTGCTTGTTAATCATTTATAGAGTTTGGGATTCGATATAAAACAGCAACAGAGAAGATTTGATAAATTATAATGAGAGAGACTACATTCAAAATTTGTATAATCATCAATATTAATTAAAATTAATTGTATTGCATATGCAATTTGTATCGTGTAAAATTCAATATCAATTATGCAAAGTCCTTGTTTCCTACGATTACGACAAATTGAATAAACTTGCGACCATAAAGATAAGGAAGGTACAAATAAACATTAAAAATTATGTCAAGATGAGAATATTTAAATGTGTCAATAAGGGTATATATACAACCGGCCAAAAGATATATATGTTTTTATCGGTAAATGAAAATGAGCAGTTTTGCAATCATTTTGGTTATTATTTGCGCTGTACTAACTATGGGTATTGAGAACATACGTGATTTGAATGCTAATACTCTTTACACAATTTTAATTTGCAGTTTGAATTTAATCATTTTCAGCCAGGTTTAAAAACGTCAATGTATATTCTGGTCGTATAGTGGGTGGTGTGAAAGTCGACATTAAAGACTATGGATGGCAAATTTCGTTCGAACACGATAGACAACATTTTTGCAGTGGATCTATCATAACCGACAGCATCATTATTTCTGCAGCACACTGCTTTGATTGGTATAAAATATACAAAAATAAGCTCAGTGAATAATTAAAGTCAGTACCAAGTTATTTTCTGTAAAAAAATTAAATTTGTGACGCAGGAATATCGAAGCCAAAGATGTCCAAATTAGAGCTGGCAGTAGCAAAATCCACAATGGAGGAGTTGTAGTGCCAGTTGAAAGATGGGTAATTCATCCTCAATACAGTAGACAAAATCAAGATAAAGATGTAGCAATTGTTTTTCTAAAAACAGCTTTGGAAATGAATAGTAATTCAATTCGCACGATTCAAATTATTGATAAAAACATTTCAGTTCCAAATGATTCAAATGTTACAGTTACCGGATGGGGATACGTAGAGGTAAAAATATGTGCTACATTAATTTATGAATGTTTATTAAAATTAATTTGGATTAAAATGTAATTCATCAGGAAGATGTACAAGTTTTTTCGGAAAACCTTCGCGGCGTTTCTATACCAGTGATTGACTTTTCTTTCTGTAAACTATTGTATGCTGCTCGTTATACATTGACAGAACAGTAAGTATATAATTATAGTCGTTTTTCTGTTACATTTTACTCATTAATTTTTAAATTAATAATATTTCTTTAATTTTATTGCAAAATTAATCCCAAAAAATCTAAATATTTGCTACACATTGATGACTATTTCCTGCATTCTATTTAATTTAAATCCAAATAACTTCCATTATAATTTTTCAAAGACAATACTATGGCGTTTTATGATCAAGAAGTTGATCATAAAATGATTTTGAATTTTATTTTCAAATGGACAAACTGAAAATCAATCTATTAAATTTGTTCGAAGTGTTATCTAATAATTGTTATTTGCAATACTTTATATGAAAAATATTTTAGAATGCTTTGCGCTGGATTTCTTGACGGAGAAAAGGATTCGTGCCAAGGAGACAGCGGCGGCCCACTTGTCGATGAAAATAATACTCTTGTTGGTATCGTATCTTGGGGCGACGGTTGTGCAAGGGCGGTCAGTCCCGGAGTATACACACGAATTTCATCACCAATTGTTAGAGATTTTATCAGTAAACATGTTAAAATTTAAAAAACAGAGCAGTTCATAAAATAAATATAAAAAATCAATAATATAATTGTAAAAAAATTATTCATGTATATATATAAAGGTAACTCCCCTATACCGTGTTATACGGGACAAAAGACTATAGAACAAGAAGAAGGGTTACCGTCCAAGAATTCCAAAAGACACGAGAAGAAGTAATGAGAAATAATGCACGTTAAATGAATCATATATTTTGTTTTTACAAGAAACGGATAGAACATCCAACATGATCATTTCGTTTTTGGCAAGATATACTCATCCACTGAGAATTTTATATACTACCATAATTTCCATGCTCTATTTTTGATAAAAAAAAAATATTTTTGATTACTTGCTTTTAGTGAAAAGATACCTTTGTTAAAATATTGCGTTCATTTTATTTGAAGAATCTTTGTTTAAGAAATACGGCTAACTACGCAGACCTGTTTTTCGATAGAACTGCGCTTGAATAAAAAATATTAAATTAGTTATCTTTTGCACTAGTTACATTACATTCATTGAGCAATTTTACTAATTTTAGATCAGGTAAAGTTTGATTTTCATAGGTTTTAGTTTAGTATGCAACATCGATTTAACGCCTAATTCCCTTTCCTCAAATTTGAAGCCGCGCACTAGTTTGGAAAGAGTTTCCAATGTGATCTATAAGATCTATTGCAATAGTTGCGATTGTACCTATATTGGCGAAACAGGACAGAACCTTATTAAACGTTTAAAACAACAAGACAATAACTCAAAATACAAAAATCAAGGACAAACGACGATCACAGAATATTTAAAACTAAACAACCATACGTTCAATTTTTATGACGCACAGGTTCTTTATCATCAGTCGTAAGTCTCACAAAGACGCTTTTCAAAATCAGCTTTTATTTTCTTAGACAAACTAAGTATTAATAAGCGAACTGATACTAGCTTTCCCTGCAAAAATTACCAATATGTTCTGAATCTTGTTTCTCAATTTGTATCGAATAATTAGCACAACACTATGTACACACTAGCATATATCGCTGAACTATGTATTGCAAACACGCGCTTCTAAGTTTTTAGAAAAACAGGTCTAGCGGTTTCGGAGATGCCAAAAAAAGTAAAAAAAATACTTGGCGGTCAAAAATGATCATTAGACATATGTTCATCAAATTATTAGATATTTCATGAATATTTTAAAAATGAGTATTAATTTTCTTATATTTTTTTGGGTTTTGTATCAAGATTTTTAATTTTTAAAGTTCACTTGTACGGTTCAAACAAAAATCAAAATTTTCAGATTTTTTATTTCAAAAATTTTTCAAAAATGAACAAAGTTTTATACTTTAAATATAAATTTTAAAATTATAATTTATTTTGAAAATGTATATATTTCATATGCGTCATTCTAATCGTGAGAAATATATCCTAGTGGTGTTTGGCATCGTGCTGCCTTAATAACTTAATAAGATTAATAACAATTGTTTTAAAATTTGTTAGTTTTTGAATTCATTTCAAAGTTTCTGAAATTTAAGGATTACTGTTAATATATTTATGATTCTTTCAACACTGGCATATTATTAATTATAATTTGAGCTTTCATCAAAATAATTTATATAAGTGGTGTTTGGTAGGTACTATTTTACTATGCACGATCCATAATAATTGCAAGATGATTGAACTATTAAAATAGAAATCATATAAAATCTTTTAAAAAAAAAAAACCAATGAAGATAGAATTTACTAATTCAATATCAAATATATTACTGGCGTTTTTGTTTTATGGAGAAATTGTAACTACTTATGTTATTTAAAAAACTGTACATAGTTACTAACTATTAGGCTCACAAAAGTAAATTATTCTTGAAATAGGCACTTTAGCAAGTCGACTTAACAAAATTAAAAGAAATACTTGTGCGATTCTATCATTTATATGTAGAAAGTATTTCCCAAAACATCTTATTTTTACATCAATAAGTCTATTTTTGTTGTAATTATCATATAAAGCGGTTATTTATACTTGTATACATGTAATTATATACAGCTTAATGAACTGTGAAAAATTACCCTAGCTACAGAATAATTGCGGTTCATGGTAAAAACTATATGTAGGCAATATTTTGTTATTTTACAAATTTCAATAATGTGTTTTTTACTGATAAAATCAAAAAGACGTAAGTAAATATTTTTACAGATATTTTATATTATGTCGAAATATTTCTGTATAAAAAGGGAATAATTTCATACAATGGCAGTCAGAAATAATAGGAATAGAACAAGATATAGCCCAAAATGAAGTGTTTATTGGTCATATTGGTTTCAGTAAGCGCTATTTTCGCCGGGCGTCTTCAATCTAAAAGTAAGTAAATTAGAGTAAAAATAATAATATATTTAATAAAAGAAATTATGTCATTCCTATAAAACAAATTTGTTTCTTTTTTGTTAATGGTCTCCTTAAAATGCTCAGGTAACCATGTAATAATATTAGTAAAATTTAGAGACCAAAAGATTTACTATTGAAAAATTGGGCTCACTCTGGTTATCACAGATCTGATCTTGCAGTTTTGTTGCAAGCTTTGTTTGATGTTAACAATACTTTATTTAAAATGAATTAGAAGTAGATAAATACAGTATTGTTTTTAGATAAACATATCAAAACTAAATCCGTCGATCGAATTGTTGGAGGACAAGAAGTTAGTATCAACGATTTCGGTTGGCAAGTTGCTCTTGAACAAAACGGCCAACTTTTCTGTGGTGGTTCAATAATTAGCGAGCAATGGATTCTTTCGAGCGCACAATGTTTTGATAGGTAGGTATGACACAAATTCTATTTATAATTCGTTTGCTATTATGTTGATATCTTTTCTAATGAAATCTAGAAATAGAAATTAAAATTGTGAACAGAAATGTGAATAATACATAAAATAGTGGCAAGAAATCAACCAAGATAAACATTTTACAGGCATACAAAAACTTTACGTTTAAATATATACCATAAACTTTTAACTTCGAAAATGAAAATTTTTATATATCTTTACATTTCAGAGGTTTCTGAATATTTTTGCATGCCTTAAAAAAATGGATGTATGTGTGTGTGTGCGTGTGTGTATGTGTGTGCGGATACAAATTTTCGTCGACGATTTCAGGAACACGGCTGAAGCGATTTGAATAATTCGGAAAACATTCGATTCGTATTGATAAGGAGACGTACTAATTAGTTTTTGACAAAGGCAGGTCTAGCCGTTCCGAAGATATGGGGCAAAAAGTGTCAAAAACGGTAACTCAGTTTTTAAGAGAACGGAGCGTCCGATTTGAAAAATTCGAAAAACATTTTACTTGTATTAACAAGATGACGAACTGATCAAATTTTCATGAAAGCAGGTCTGGTGGTTTCGGAGATCTAGTAAAAAAAGTAAAAAAAATGCCATCTGGCGGTCAAAAATGATCATTAGATATATGCACAATAAATTATCAGATATTTTATAGACATTTTAACGATAAGTATAAATTTTGTTTACATTTCTATGGGTTCGGTACCAATGCTTATTCGTTAGATGGCGGCGCGGCGCTTGCGCGCTTCGATATTTTGTCTTTATGCAGTTAAAGCAGTACGAATGCTTTGAAAAAAAGTTCAGAATTTCCAAAATATTTCAAAATACACTTTTCTTCAAAAAGTCTTTTCTTCAAAAATGTTAATCTTTTTAAAAAATAATAGTTTTTGGTACGGGAAGTTCCAGCAATTTGCATTAAGGCACGATGCCATGCGCCCCACTAGTTGTTAGTTAAATAAAAACTTGCAATAAATTCAATGACCAGTCAGTTAAACATTATCTCTATTGATCTTATTTATGATTCTTAATCAAAATCGTTTCAGTAGGTTTTTAGAAATATTAATAATAATGCATTTACCCCATATCTATGAGTAAAACTAATAGACTTCATGCAGAATTCAAATAGTTTTTTCAACCAATGTTTTTGAAATCTATCGTAAGTTTTGCAAAAATTAACATAGGGCGATGCACAAAGGTCTAATTTGATTTTAAGTAACTATACTGTCTAAACTAAATAAACTATAACAAAATATAACACGTAACAGACAAGCAACTAAACTGTTTTCAATAAAATTCCTAGTTAAACCTAATTATAGAAATGGGTTTTTTTTGTTTTTCTAAAATTTGTCAATTGTCCCCATTGGCTGGGTAAAGAGATAGAGCCATAGGGCAAACAGATACAATATCTTAATTTTAAATTTAAAGAAATTTTGAGAAATAATAGCTACATTATTGAAGCAATACCAAATATAAAATTCATGCTCACATGTTTTACAAAGGTAACACTTTATATAACCTTGATCTGGTATTTTGTCAGAAAAATTCATATGGTGAGTTTTAAAAAAAATCTGTTGAATCTAAATTTATAATAACAATTCATATTATAGAACAATTAAATAAGGTACACTTAAAAATTATTAGAAGATCTTGTGAGCTTAACAATAGTGCACACAACCAAAAAAAACTTTTTGTTACAGATTTTCAAACATGACTATGTCCTGATAGCGACGTTGATTGATTTAAGACAATGACTGGTTACACATCTTTTTCCCTCTACTTGCAAATATTGTTGTTTAAAATTTCTAAATTTACTTGTTTTTGGGATATTGATGAAAGTCCTTTCTATCCGTGGACCTTTAAATTCCGTTCTATCTTAGTTATAGATTGTATATGAACATTAGTATGGTTGTGTATGATTGATATTAGAAATACATTTTAATGTAAAATTGCTAATATTATGCATATATGATATGCATAAACATTCTTTTATATATTCCATCCGAAAGAATATTTACAAAAAACAAGTGTAAAAAAATTATGACATTTTATCTGTTTTCAGTGGAGCAACGGCTGATAAAGTCTCAGTAAGAGCTGGAACAAGTACTGTACAAACTGGAGGAATATTAGTAAATGCAAAGAGAATCATAATTCATCCTCAATATAATAGAAGAAATTTAGATAAAGATGCAGCTTTAATAAACTTAGATTCACCTTTGCCATTAAACGGCGGATCAATTCGCGCAGCGCGATTAATAAATTCTGGAGCTATTGTATTACCTGGCAGGTTGCTCACTGCTTCTGGATGGGGATACATAAGGGTAAATGTTATAAAAATTTAGAGATATTTCTATTTCGCATAAGTTTTGCAATCAAAAACTAGTGTATTTACTTCCCATTTACTTTTAAAGCTTCTAATTGACTACCAGTTTATTCAAAAAACTATCCATCATATTTTCCTTGTGGATACATATGGGATAAACGGTAGTTTACATTTTTGTGGGTGTGAGAATAAATAGTTACGGTTTTGTATAAAAAAATTGCTATAGAATGTAGTTTTGAAAATTGGGGTTAAACTATTGAACAAAAATAGTCATACAAATGAAAACCCCATGTAATTTAACGAAAGAATGACTATTATCAGAAGAATGTATAATAATGCACTATGTTATTCTTGAGACAATTAGTCAAGCGCAAATCAAGATACTTATCAAATACTAGTACCAGCGGTATATATTTAAAGAATACGAATAAAACATTATTGAAAATTTTGAGAAAATAATATTTATATTAGGAAATTTATTCAAATTTACTGGATGTAATGTAATCGACGAAGCCAAAATTGCGCATAATTGGCTGTTACAGTATCAGGACCATAAACAGTGTCCACATTTCCAGATGTCTGGCATGCACTTTTGCCTTTATCGAATAAAAACTGTAGAAGCAAAATGTGTAGAATAGTGTATATTCTCTTTGCTAGCATCCATATTTGCCTTATGCTCAAAAAAAACTGAAAAAGTTTTTTTTTAGAAGGAAATTTCATATTTCTAACTCCGCCTAGTAGAAACCAATCATATTTGTACAACAAGAGATACAAATAATTAGAGCCAATCATTGCAAAAATAATGGATTTATTTCACTTTTCCTTCATCAAATTCCAAATAACCATCAAATCAATTTCGAGTTAGATGAATGTATAAGTAGTTATTAAGAACATATGTAAGAATTACTGAAGCTTCTATATTAATGTTCGTGTCTAAGTGTAATTATTATATTGAATATATTTCATCCTGATATAGCAGCGTTTTCGCCAAAGCTTCAAGCAGTAGCAGTTCCAGTCGTAGATAACTTTACTTGCAAGGAACTATATAGCACACGTTATGTAGTCACAGATAAGTGTGTATATTTCAATTTTTAATTAAAACTTCAATATTCCTTCCCAAAATAGTAATAAAAAAAATACTGCACAAAATAAATATAATTAATTTAATCAACAACCAAATATAAATAATATTTATTAAATATAGAATTGCCGCTTATATTATTAACTTCCCGTAAGGTAAGTTATTGTAATCGTCCAAAAATCGAAATTGAAAATTTTTGCATTTCTCGACGTTTTGAAGGTTTCTGAACATTTTGGCATTCCTTGGAAAAAATGGATGTGTATGTGTGTATGTGTGTGCGTGTGTGAATACAACTTTTGTCGACGTTTTGGTAGAACGGAGCATCCGATTTGGACGATTCAAAAACCATTCAACCAAAACTGGTTGAATTTCTGCAACGACATGAATGGGTATCAAACAGTTTCAAAATTTTCAGAATAAAAAAAAAATTCAATTTTCTAACAATTTCCAAGTTATCAAAAAATTTCTAAGTTTTGAAAATATATCAGTACTTTCAAATTAGGCTTTTTTTATTTTTTCTATATTCAAATTTTTCAAATGATTCCAAAAACTTCAAAATTATCAAAAAAATCTAATTTTTCTTTAAAACATTTAAAATTACGGTACGGAAAGCTTCAGCAATTTGTCTTAAGGCACAATGGTAAGAACCACTAGCTTTCTAATGAGCTTGATTCGAAACGAAAATACAAAAGTATTAACATACATACTTGTCAAAATAAATGATTTTTAAGCTGATTTTAGAACGTCCACAAGCATTATCAGAATAATGATATATTCTTTTATATTTTAGCATGCTCTGTGCAGGATATCTTGATGGAGGAAAGGACGCATGCACTGGAGATGCAGGGGGCCCACTTGTGGATAGCAACAGGACCCTGGTCGGAATCGTCTCTTGGGGAGACGGTTGCGCTAGGTCTTTCAGTCCTGGTGTTTATACCCGAATTTCCTCCGCCAGCGTTAGGGATTTTATACGCACTAACTCCGGAGTTTAGAGTATAGAACAAAAATGTGTGAAACTCATATTTGTCAAAACGGCATTGAAAATATAATATTAAAGAACTATGTTGTCATTTATTAATATTCGATTACCACTGAGTGACTTCGATCTCTTTTTCTAATATATGTGGTCCTAAAAATTACAGAATGTTATTTCCACTTGGTCTTTTGTGGTCCTTTCCACCATGACAGATTGTAATTCATAAATAGCAAAATAGAGCATTCAGAAACTACATAAAGACTTGCACGCGCTTGTGAATCACTAGGAAATTACAAAAATATTGTTTTATACAACGAGATTATATAAATAGAATTGGCACTAATAAATTCTAAAGATTACTTATAAATTTGAAGTTTAAAATTTTTACTAAACTAAATTTTAATATATTTTATATTTAGTACATATTTTTTCATTCGAAACAAAAGTTTCTATATTTTGTGACCATATGAACTAATTTTTCTACTAATATTCTATTAAACATAAATTTGTTTGTGCCTTGAATTTTTAAGAAATGCTTACTAGACAAGTATGTTTGCATCATGATAATGAGTTTTTTTTTTATTTCGAAGGTAAACCATTGGTATCTAGTTTTAATTAATATAAAATGAGAGATAAGGCATTTATCTCCGCCACAATATAAGCATGTCTCGTTATTTACGTAGGTCAAGAATAATGTTTACAACAACAATGAGTCACTTTAAAACCTACGTATAAAACTATGGTAGAAATGTTTAAAAATAGAGTTTGGTTCTAAATAGAAAGTTCTAAAAAATAGAGTTTTGGTTCTAAGTAATTGTACAGTCTGGCAAATAAAATTAAACGAAGACAAATTACAGAATATTAATAACGGCCCTTTAGTTTATTTGAAAGACTAACGAATGCCACAAGAATATGTTGTAGATTATTTAGGTATTCATCTGGACAAAAAATAAACATGGCAACCACATATCATGTCGAAAGACTTGAAACTGAAAATGCAGGAACTGCAGTCGCTTAAGGGGTTACATGGGTTTCACGGTTTCAAAAAATCAAAAAATTTGTTTATTGAATTGAATCAAATAAATTATTTTATTAAATTCTATAACATCTCTAGAATATTTTCCTTAATTTTCAAGTTAATCCGACTAATAGTTTCGGAGATACAGCCTTGAAAAGGTAAACGCTCGAGGTCAGGTATAGGCTGAGGCTTTAACTTTTTAACGCGTTTTTCTCAAAACTGTTTTCAAAAACGGTTGTCAAGATTTCTCGCGAACTACTCAACCAATCTTGATGAAATTTTACGCAGCTCTTCGAGATATCATTTACAAGGTCTTGAACAAAGGATTTTTTTCTTTCTTAATTAGAAATTTGCATTTTTTTTATAAAAACGTCTGCCAAAAATCCTATTTTCATTTTTTTTTCATTTTTCTATGTCCACTACCTATCTAGCTTATTGTCTTTACTAAAACACATATTTTTTATTGTTATTTCACATGATCCTAAAAGAAGTTCTGCTGACAACGCGGAGGCACCTTTCTTCCGAGGGACTGCCTGAAATGGTGTCGTAATGAGCGCCATTTTGATATATTTTTCTGAAAATTTTACAAAATGTTTATTATATATGTATTTTTTAAATAAAAAATTCATTAAAATATTTCATTTTTATATGTAAAAAAAATATTGAAAAAAACCGTTTTTTGCCCGAGGAAATCCATGTAACCCCTTAAAGGAAAAATCAGTATTGAAGCATATATGAATATGACATTGACTCAAAAAAGTAGGTCTATTTACTTAGACCTTAGATAGAAAATCATTCACTGGAATGAATTCTAAACATTTTTTTTCTTTATTTTTTTATTTATTTGTTTTATTTTTATTTCAGTCTTATAATAGCTTATTAGATTTTATTATTATGATTGCTATTTATAATATCTAAAAATAAAGAAAGACTTGGTATTTTTTAGAAATAATAGAAATAATGGTATTGTACAACACAAATTAATGACTCTATTACTCATTAAACAAAATGCAAATGGTTAAATATTTTACAAATACATAGAAATAACATTCTATTAAATAATTTAACAGAACTAAATATTCAAACAGTAAAGCTAGATATGTTTTTACTTATTAGAAATTTAAATTTTATTGCTATTTTGAAGTCAGAAGTTTTGTACTTTTTTTGACTAATAGCTTTGGTGGCTGGCGACGCAATCATAGAAGTATTTTACGATATAAAAATTAAAATTAGTGGTGTATGGCATCGCGCCTTAAGGCAAATTGCTGGAACTTTTCGTGTCGTAACGAGATCAAGGAATATTAACTGTTTCCTTATAGACTTTTATAAATATTGTAACATTTATAATATATAGGTTTATAAGAGTTATATAAACTGAATTGCAAAGTTGTAATTAATTATTTAAAGTATGTTAGAACAGAATTAAAATTAAAATCTGAATTATTTCCGATATACAAAAAAAAAATTTTTTTTGAAAAAAAAAATTAGAACAAAAAAATTTGTTTCCAACATGCAGAAAGTTCTTTGAATAACAAAACTGTAATTTTTTGCATATTTAGCTCTGTATCTTCGAAATAACTGGACCTGCCTTTGCTAAAAACTAATCACCTCTTCTCCCAATCATTACAAATTGAATGTTTTTTAGATCATTCAAATTGGATACTCCGTTCTCTCAAGAACTCGATTTGTATTTTTTGCACTCTTGGTTCCGTATCCCCGTAACGGCTGGATCTACTTTTGCCAAAAACTAATCAGCACATCTCCCCATTCAAAACACACACAAACGTTCATTTTTTTCAGAGGTATGCCAAAACGTCGAGAAATGTAAACATTTTCATTTTTCATTTTCGGCCCATTACTATAACTACCCTACGCAAAGTTAAAAAAGGATATTTGTTCAAATAATCGCTTGTGAAACGTTTGGGAAACTTAGGTGGACTGTAATGGCAAGCAACTATTAACAGCAAAATTTTAACGCATTAATCTTTGCACTATATATAAACGTTAATAGGTAAAAACATTTTATTCATCTTTAAATTTTTTAAATTAAGCAAGTGGTGTACCGATAAGATAACAAAAACAGCAACTACAATTTAAAAAAATGTCAAGATGTTTTCTGTGTAGTATAAAACATTGAATGCCCCACATCAACCGTCATAAATAAGCAAAATATTAAGACAACAAAATGAAAACTTATATAATAATCTTTGTTGCAGTTTATGCTGTATCTGCTGGATATATCAGCAACAGACGTGAGAATAAAATTTATATCAATTTAATTTAACAATACCTACAACTACATATAAATATATAAATTATTATTTTCTAGCTTGGGCCAGGACTGAAAATTTTAATTCTGGGCGTATAGTGGGTGGTCAAGACGTCGACATTGAAGATTACGGTTGGCAAATTTCTTTCGAACAATATGGTCAGCATTTTTGTGGTGGATCAATTATAACTAATAGTATAATTCTGTCTGCCGCGCATTGCTTTGATAGGTAACAAATAAATATTTTAATTGCTTATATTAATAAATTGTGAGATTAAGTTTGCAAAAAATCATAACCGTGTATGATTATTTTAATAATTTTTATTTTCCAGGAAAGTTTAGCCTGAAGATGTTAAGATTAGAGCTGGCAGTAGTGAGGTATATAATGGAGGAGTCCTAGTACAGGTAAAAAGATGGGTAATTCACCCAGATTATGACAGTAAGGAACAAGATAGAGATGTCGCAATAGTCTTTTTGGAAACACCATTGGAGTTGAATGGCGGTTCAATTCGTACCATCAATGTTATTGGAAGAAATGTTAAAGTGGCGAATAATGCAAATCTCACCGTTACCGGATGGGGATACCTTCAAGTAAATATAACAGATTAGTTCTCTATTTTATAATGGAAATATATGAAATCATTTATTGATCAATACATGATTTTCTAGGAAGAAGTTCACGACGTTTCCGAAACTCTGAAAGGAGTTTCTGTGCCAAAGATTGACTTCTCTCTGTGTAAACTACTTTATTCAACGCGCTATTTAGTAACAGATAAGTGAGTATATATATTTTCAAAAAACATTTGCTTTAATATCAATTTTTCATTACTATCAGTTTTGCTCATTTGTTCATCAATAAATATTATTAGCAAGTCATTATATCGTAAGCAAAAAGTCCTTATTCATTGTCGGTTAGTTTGATGATCAGATCTACACTAATTAAAATATTTGCTTAGATAGATTTCATTTCAAAATAGGATTTTAGCATCATGATAAAACAAAGATTAGATTTCAAGTTGTGTTATAATATCTCTCATACTTCAGTTATGTTGTGCTTTTTATAATCGAAGCATATGTTAATTTTTGAATATTGGATTTATGGTTATATTTACAAGAGATTTATGTTTTAATTAAAATGAATCCTGTATCTGATAGTATTTGTAATGTCATAATCAGAATCACAAGTAGTTAATGATTGCTATTAGAAAAAATGTAATATAAAACAGTTATAAAAATAACTCGTGATGTATGGCAACATGCTAAATTGCTGTAACTTCCCGTACCAAAAATTACAATTATTAAAACAGCTTTAAACTTATTTGAGATTTCTAAAAAAAAAAAATATATTGTGTATTTTCTTTCTCTAACTTTATTCCAAAACTATCGCAGCTGTTTACGAGACAAAATATCGAAGCGCGTAAATATAATAGTCTATAAAATATCTGATAATTCGATATTTTGCCCCGTATCTCCGAAACCGTCGAATCGGTCTCTGCCAAAAACTAATCAGCACGTCTCCCTATTATTACCAATCGAATGTTTTTTGAATTATTCCAATCGTTTGATCCGTGTTCCCAAAATCGTAGACGAAAATTTGTATACGCACACAGACCCACACACACACACACATACACACACACACTGACATACATCTATCATTTCTAAGGTTTGCCAAAATGTTCAGAAACCTCTGAAACGTAAAGATGTTTTTTTATACATAAATATTTTC